AAAGCTCACACACCCTCTTTTTTTTTTTTCAGGGCATACCCATTGCTGTCTTGTATATGCAAATCTAGAAAAAAAATAATAAATCATTAATATATATGTTCATTTCGTAAAACTGCGTAAGGAATCATTTGCTTTTTTTTGGGGGGTTGCTTTGAAATGCTTTATCTGATGGGCTGTGGCTGTCTCGAGGAGATAAAAGTGAATTTGATCTGATGTGTGATTGGGTTCTGAGAGACTGAAGAGAAAGCTGAAATCTTGTAGCTATGAAGGGCTAATACTGTGTAGTTTATACTACATTTATACAGATTTACTGTTATACGCATAGAATTTAACTTCCAGAGATTTTCTTGAGGAAAATATATGTTATAACAATGGAGAATGAGTTTGATTCAAAGCTAAGGATAGGGAGCAACAGTTCATCACCAAATAGCGACAGTAATGGCGCTTCTAATCCTCAGAGATCTAAGAGCTTTGCATTTCGAGCACCCCAGGAGAATTTCAGCATCCAAGATTTTGAATTGGGCAACATTTATGGCGTCGGTTCGTATTCAAAGGTCTTTTGTTTCTTCTGACAATGGGTTCTTTTGCTTATATCTATGTTGAATTGTGTTTGGTGTTTCGTTTTTCTATGTCCTCTGTTTGTTGTTATCTGTTTGGTGCCCTTTTGAAACTGACTGCTATTGTATTTTTTGCTCTATTCTGATGGGAAATGTGAGTTGCAAAGAACTGCAAAGTTTTCCTTAGTAATAAGAGTTGAGATTTTTTCCAAGTTGATTGTTGAGAATATGAATTATTCCCCTCTCTTTACAAGAAGGGTTCGGAAAGACTGAAACTAAGTAAAGATATTCAAAGAGGAGAGTAAAACGAATATAACTCGATGATTTTAGTTCAGAATTACACAACAACCAGCGAAGGTCTCGTAAACTGTTACAACTCAAGCTGTCATGAGGCCTCATGATATACCTGGCTACTTGTCATGTAACTTGCATATTGCAAAATAAATAAGGGGAAAAAAATGAAAAATTCTCATTTGCTATATGGCTTGATTCATTTTAGAACTTTTACATTTTTTCCGTACTTTAAGCTTTGAGAATTATGCTTCAGCAGTAGTCATCTTAAACAATTAATTGCAGGAATTGTCTGATAAGGATTTTGTGCAACTTTCATGCACAATTCCTACAATATGTGATTAATAATCTCTTATTTATGTTGATGTTAGTTCATTATGAATAAAATGCTGTAAAAAGCTTCTGTTCATCTAATCTACTGTCAACAGGTTGTCAGAGCAAAGAAGAAAGACACGGGGATTGTCTATGCTATGAAGATTATGGATAAGAAATTTATTACGAAGGAAAATAAAACTGCTTATGTCAAATTGGAGCGCATAGTATTAGATCAGTTAGATCATCCTGGTGTAGTGCGTTTGTTCTTTACATTTCAAGATACTTTCTCACTCTGTGAGTATTGCTTGTCATGTTTTTACTGTAAATATCTTTCAATATGCTGGCATTTCTGGCCATGAGGGTAATTTGATGATCCTATATTTAATTATATTCTGAAGACATGGCGCTCGAGTCTTGTGAAGGTGGGGAACTTTTTGATCAAATAACCCGGGTAAGTCTGATAGTTTAGAAGCATATATTCTTTTCTAGCTGATGTCATTCATAACTTTCTTATGTAAAGAAAAAGTGTTCCAGAAAAATTAGTTAGTTAGGGGCTTAATTAGTGTTTTACCCTCACCGGACTCGGAGAGGATAAGAGACTATGAACAACTAATGTGATGATACAGAGATGACCTTTGGTTCTCTCCTTTTTCTTTCTCTTTTTTGTTGCGTGTGTGTATGCTTGATAGAAAAGTAATTAGAATGTGGGAAGGGAAATAATATCAACTTCTACATTTATTTTATTATGTCAGATTCTTGTGCACTCCACATTATATCTTTTGACAAGAGACTGGGAATCTGATGTGCCTTTTGTATTTTCGTATGAAAGCTTTAACTGCCACCTTTTTTAGGTGTTTAAATGTTGTTATAGCTAGGGTGCCATCTATTCCGAATGAAACTTGAATATACAAGTCACGGTTAATGTGCGCAGTTTACGGACTGAATATATGCATGCTTTCATTGGCAGATATGTTTTCCACAATCAAGTTAAGTCCTATTCATTGTAATTTTGATTTTCATATAGTTAATGATGTGTGCAGAAAGGCCGTTTTTCTGAGGATGAAGCTCGTTTCTATGCAGCTGAAATTGTGGATGCTCTTGAATACATACACAGCATGGGCTTGATACATCGAGATATTAAGGTAAGTGTTTTTGTTTTGTGTTGAATATATATGTTACCATAAATAGTGTTGCATTACACACAAAAATATTGCAGTCATAGTTCTTACACTAAGATTTGATTCTTATTGGAATCACATCCGATATATATATATTATATCGATAATGCTAATAGTTTCTAGAATGACAGCCCGAAAACCTATTGCTTAGCGAGGATGGACATATCAAGATTGCCGATTTTGGCAGCGTAAAGCCTATGAAAGATAGCCAGATAACACTCCTTCCAAATGCGGCATCAGGTATTTTATTATAATAAATTGATGCTTTTGTCAAGCAATGATACTTTTCTTTGATTTTCTTGGTTCTGATCATTAACATTTCAACTATGATCAGATGATAAGGCATGTACCTTTGTGGGAACAGCAGCTTATGTTCCTCCAGAAGTTTTAAATTCCTCTCCCGCCACTTTTGGGTACCAAACTTTTAAATATCTGTCCATTGTCTATTTTATTTTTCTTTTCCATTCCCTTTATGTTTTATCAATCAGGAATTTCTAATATTTCGCTTGAATTGAACCAGGAACGATCTTTGGGCGCTTGGATGCACATTGTACCAAATGCTTTCGGGTACATCTCCATTCAAGGATGCTAGCGAATGGCTTATTTTCCAAAGAATTATTGCAAGAGATATTAGATTTCCTAGTTACTTCTCAGCTGAAGCGCGGGATTTAATTGATCAGTTATTAGTAAGACATATCTCATTAAATTTCATATTACTTATTTATTTTGCCTCCTTATTCTTTAGCTTCTTTTCAGCATAAATTATTGTGTAAATCTTTATTAATATAATCGATATATCTAGAGATTTAAGAATTTGTGAATTGGATTGGTCTATTTAAAGGGCCAGGGGTGATAACAAAACTTTCTCCCAAGTCCTGTAATTTCTTGGATCATCAGTAAGACAATTTTTCAAGTTTCAAGTTTTGACAGGAACATGGTGTTTTCTTCAGAACTAAGGTAGTGAATTATAGTAGTTGTATAAAACACAAATGATGTTGTTATACTTCCTAACCGTTAGACAAGGATATTTTCTTCCAAAAATGCACACTTGTACTATAAAATGTCATACTTTTTATTATATTATATTTTAAAGTATGCATTTGAGTGTATATGTATATATATATATATATATATATATATATATATATATTTGCTGCCTAATAAGCAGCTTAACAGAAGACCAACCATTTATATATAAAAAAAAGCAAGCAATAAATATTTTGTTTTTTCTCAATTGAAGTGCGAAAATAAGATCAAAGAAAGCTTTTTAAAAGTTAAATAAATAAATCTGAAAAGGTCTTCGTGTAAAATTATCATCCTTTCAATGTAAGAATTAATAAAAAGACGATTACAACTTATATTTAGTGATAGAATGTAATTGGGGAATTGGGACTAGTAAAGCATTACCACTAAGTAATAGCAGTTTGAATACTACCAAATGACTCTTAATTTATTGATTGAATAATACAAACTACTGATTAATGATTCTGTGACTGTTGTAGCGTCTCCAAGTATCAAAATGTTACTGAGTAGCTACTAAGGAGCTACCTTTTTCTTATAACTCCCATCATGGAGTTAAAATGCTAGCTGAAATATCTTTAGCTACCTGGGGTAGCTACTAATAGCTTGCAAGATACTACAAGAGCTAATCTTTTATTATACAGAACATGGTTGGATTTGGTACCTATAATAACTATAATTCTGTTGATATAGGACATTGATCCTAGTAAGCGACCAGGTGTCGGACCCGATGGCTATGCTTCTCTCAAAGGCCACCCTTTTTTTAAAGAAATTGATTGGAAGAATGTGAGGGCTGCAACCCCCCCTAAACTAGCTCTTGATCCGAGAGTAAGAATTTTTCTGTACTTTTTTTCATTCTTTTTGTGGCTATCATGCTTCTCGAATTTCGATGTTTGAAATTTCTAGAAGTTATGCTCACAGATATGCCATTCTTGTCTTTTGGAAACCACTGTAATCCCCTCAGCACTTCGTGATCTTTTCAATTATCAAGAGATGTATAATTTCAAATACTATCCCTGAGGTTGATTCTTACTTTTTATATAATTTTCATCCTTGTTAGGTGCACATTGTATAAATTGAAACACAAGCAAATTTTTTTTTTTTTTTTTTTTTTTT